GCATTTTGTTCGGACTGACATGACAAGTGATTCTATGAAGATTCTCAAAAGTAACTTTGGGTCTATCTTGCTTCCTTCTCCATGTTACAAACAAATGCACAAATACGTAATACCCTTACCACTATGTGCTGTAAGAGATCTGGATCAAAATACATTCACCGCAAAATCACTTTACTCTCTTCACCACTTTTTGAAAACGGCAAAAACGGCACGGGTTTTTTGTAGACTATGAAAGATGATGTTCCATACAAAAATGCAAAATTAAAATTTTAGGACCTTCCCTATATAATTTTTTTAAACTCCATATTCCTTTAGGATATGGCAAAAATATGGACATATTTTGAATTATTTTCATTTCATTTTTTCAATTAATCTCCCTCTTTTGTGATTTCACCCCTATGAGCTACGTATCCTTTGGAAGGCTTTAAAATCCTAAAAGTCCCATTTAACTTCTTTTAGACCATAAAAATTTCTGTAGGAAATCTGAAGGTTTCGTAAGATATTCTAATGCAAGTCCGTATATGTCTTCTTAAAGAGATATTTAAGGTCAGCTTATAAAAGTCTTTTAAAAACCTCGTAATGGACTTTTAATGAAAGCTTGTAAAGGCCTTTTTACAAAAAAAATCTTTTGCGTCACTACAAATTCCACTGCATTCATTTACTTATTGTCATTAACAAAATATGTGTCAAATTAGAATGACATGTTAAGCAATTTGTTTCTGCTATTTATTTAAAAAAAAAAACTAGACAACAAAACATGACACCTAGGACATTAGTGTTTAAATGATCCTTTCAATGGACAAATTACATGGAAAAAGGCAAAGTGAAAATATTGTCACAACAAATTATTTGATGACAATCACTTGAAACCCAAAGCCCTACCCCCATACGCCGCCCTCGCTGACATGAAGACACTAAAGAAGAAAATAATGAACGCAACTGACAACAATGACTGAAAACGGAAGGAAGGAAGGCAGGATGGATAGTAATCACTCATAATGACTATATAAGCGTATTTTCTTTGTTAGTAATTTTATGTTATTAGTGTGTTAAATTTTATGGGTGTTTTTTTTCTCGGTGACAAAAGCCGACGACATCCGACCCATAAAATTACTTACTTTCGAAAACGATAAACACCGACGGACAACAATGCCAAAAAAAGGGGTGACAACAATTTATGTGCGTTTAAAATATTTACTGTAAAGTGCTAGTATTGTTGATTCTATTATAGAGCATGGTTACATGGAATGTTGGGGGTGGGCTAATTGTGACCCCATAAATGTATTACGTGTTGAAATAGGAGATATGTATGTGTGACATAGTAACTTATTTTAAAGGGCGGAATTTATTTTGTTTTTTTTTTTTTAATTTATGTAACATTAATTTTTGTAAACGCTAAAGAGAGGAATTCGAGTGTCGTACATAAAAAATTTAAATTGTAAGTTATTTTAACAAAATTATTGAAAAAAGTAAAACAATATTTTCCAGTAATTATCGATGCGAAGCACATGAGTTTTTCAAGCATTCTTTTCGAGTCTACTCGGGTATTTCGTTAGGACATTTTCCTGCAAACTAAAATCGCAATGTTTGTTGAATTTTCAAGGATATTTTCTACAGATTATAGAGGTAGGAGAAATTGATTTTTAAAGTGTATTTTCCACAAACTAAAAGGCATTGAATGTGGAGTATCTTCCTCTTCAATCGAGCTATCTTTAAGGGATTTTTTCTTAAATTTGCATGCAATACAAGTGCATTTTTCAAATATATATTAAAAAACTATATAGGTAATACTTGTGAAGTTTCATATTTCATATTTCCCCCAAAGTACAAAAGCAAATCTTGTGCATATTTAACGATAATTTCCACAGACTATAAAAACAATACCTTGGACTTTACAGAGACATAATTTCAAAATAGAGACGCTAATCGTAGATTTTTAAATGAAATGTTTCAAAATATATTGTAACATTATTAGTTGATTTTCACGGATATTTCACAAAAACTCTGGAGAAAATATCTATGCATTTTCTGAGGATATTTTCTCAACTGAACTATGGGAAAATTCAAAATATCAGAAAATTCAATATATCTCTCACAATTTTTGTGAAATTGCGAGTTCAAGGGACAATATTCCCGGATTTTTAAGGATAATTTTCTCATTCTATAGTTGCAATATTCGTGGATTTTTAATAATATTTTCTAAAATACATTTTAAATATTAGTGAATTTTTCAAGGATATGTTTCACAGCTAAAGCATCAACGCTCTTAAGTTGTATTTTCCCGTGGATTTCTGAAGCATTGTTAAAAAACGCAGAGGCAATACTCAAGGGTATTAAGGACAATAAAATAAGACAATGCTCTTGGGTTATGAAGGATACTTCACAAAAAATAAAAAAAGTATATTTGCAGATTTTTTCGAGAATATTTTTTACAAAATACAATATTCAAGGATATTCAAAAGCATATATTTTACGGAAATTAAGAGAATATACTCGTGGATTTTTAATTATAGTTTGCACGACCTTGAACATAATGCCCATTGACTTTTCAATGATATTCAAGAGCATATACGGAGACAATGCTTGTAATTTTTTCAAAGATTTGTTTAATGCTTTTCAAGGATATCCAAGAAGATATACGGAGACAATACCTGTAAATTTTTCAAATTATATCAGCAATACTCCTTGGTTTTTGAATGTTTATTTTTAATATTTTTGAAAAAAAAACAAGTAAGCAAAGGCTATAGTCGTGCGGGGCCAACCATGTTATACCCTAAAACACTACAATCAGTTAGAAGCCCCCTTATGTCCAAATCCATTTTGGAAGATTTCGTTTCGGTAAAATGGAAATGTTGGTATTTTTTCAAACAAATGTAGTGGTCCATTCTACCCACCGTAAGGCAACTGCAAAATCAGGAAAATTTTCAGTTTTTGGTTTTTTTTTTCAAACCCTAAATATTATACGCTACCTCCATTCTAAATTTCGTGAAAATCGGGCTATATTTGCGACCTGTAGAGTGATTACAAATTAACATGGACAGGAGGCGAGATAGGAAGATCCATATATACTTTCCTATGTGGGAAACCAATATTTCGAGGTGTTACTTAATTTTTGGCCCAATCAAACTTATAATACCCCCAACACATAGTGTTGTAGGGTATAATTATACAATTTTGAAGACCATAAGATAACATGATTCTTTACATGTATGCAAATATTTGCCATATATGGTGATTCTCCAAACACCATCTTAGAATATTCTCAAAGTGATACAATAATGTTGACCTGTATAGAAAATTATCTGGCAGGGAATGTCGGACCTATTTCGAATTTCACATGCCAACTTTAAGAAGATTTCGTTAAAAATATGGCTAAAGTAATTTAAATGTCGAATACCGGGAGGTAATGCAATATTTTCACATGCTAAAAATATGGCCAAACTCTCAAAAATACCTTAAATCGGGTAGACCCGTTCGAGCTTATAACCAATGGAGGAGATATATATATATATATATATATATATATATATATATATATATATATATATATATATATATATATATATATATATATATATATATATATATGTATATATGTATATTTCGCCATTCCAATCCAAGTCCTAAGTTTATCATTCCATTTCTAACATAGCGAAAAAAACAATTAAGACCCTAAAAGTATATATATTCTTGATCAGCACAAGATTATATTTAGATTTAGTCAAGTCTGTCCGTCAGGCTTTCTGTCCGCCTGTTGAAGTTACTTTAGCTTCCTTACGGAACGAAGTAGATCACGAAATTTCAATATATTTATATATATATATATATATATATATATATATATATATATATATATATATATAGCTAAAGTAACTTCAACAGACGGACAGAAAGCCTGACGGACAGACTTGACTAAATCTAAATATAATCTTGTGCTGATCAAGAATATATATACTTTTAGGGTCTTAATTGTTTTTTTCGCTATGTTAGAAATGGAATGATAAACTTAGGACTTGGATTGGAATGGCGAAAATACCGTAACATATATAATTTTTACTTTATTAAAAAAATTAAAAACTCATATGGAATGGTGTTTTTATTTCGATTTCACATTAGTATTTTTACACAGAAATATGTCTTTAAAAACGGATCAAATGGCATATCTCTCACTTCTTCCATTTTGTCAAAAAAAAAAGCTTTAATTACGAAATTTTATGAGGGTCAGTTAATGGTAACGCTTCCAACTGATTTTTTGGAATAATTATATGGTCTGCAAATAAATAACCCAAAATATTTAAAGTTTGCCTTAAATCATATTCTTAATCTTATTAAAAATATAACTTTTACAACACAGCCCTTCTCATTTGAATAAATTTCATAAATTTGTAATTCTCAAAATAGCTTTCATACCACCTCTGATTAACAATTCCTTCCTTAAGAAAAATACATTCCATGCTACCCAAAATATATAAAATATATGTATGTAAATGGTGAAATATCTCCCAACCGTCTAAGCACGTTCTTCAGAGTGTTCAATTTCATTATTATTCTCCTGAACTGCCCCTCTGGAATTTCTATTGAGAAAGGACAAATTCTTTGTCACACACATTCTCTCTCTCGTGTTATTAACGTCATTTTGTCTCAAGCCCATAGATAATTTAACATTGGCCCTCAGAAAGCCAATGTTGTTGGTCTTTCAAAACTAAAAATAAAAGCATGCAATATAAACAAACAAACAAAAGAAGGATTATAACAACAACGAAAATAAGAACAAGGAGAAGAGAAGACGTTAACATTGAAATCAATAAAAACAATTTGCATAGACTTGACATAGAATTTTTTTCTTATTTTTTTTTTTCTTATGTATATAATGAATTTTTAGGGAAAAAAGAGGAAAAGGACCATGAAAAATCACACACACATACATTTACACACATTAATGAACATCATAATGAACACAAGAATGTATCCATTGTGAATTAAAAGCAAATTTGTGATACCTTTTTTTAAGCGAGTTGTGTGACTTATTTCTTCTTCAACGATTTAAATATTTCCAATATTTTTATCCCTCTTTAGTGGATTTTTTCAATTATTAGTTTTTGTAGTTGTATAATTACACATGAGTATCCCACTTAGCTTATATAATAACACAATGTTAAATGTGAACTTTAATAATTTATTGTCGTCGTTCAAGCGAGGAGAGTGGTGAGTGGTGCAGCAACACACACATGTACATGGGGTATAGGCAAAAAATTACAGCAACGGTTTTTTCTTCAAATTTGAAAAATAACGCCCGCGTGTTTTCTTTTATTAGATGTCCTGTTAAATATAGCCATATATATACAAAGCATTTAAACGCACTCACACACATCAACACTTTATTTTTTCATTTAATTTTCCTCTGTTTTCTTTGTATTAGTTTTCCATTGTTTTGTTTATTTGCCAGCACTTTCGTTTTCCTTTTTTTTTTCTTCTTCTTTTCGTTTAGGTTTTCTTTATTCTTTGTGATTTATTTCGCAAATGTGTTTGTGTGTGTATGTCGTTCTGTATCATTTATCATTGCATTCTGGACAATTTCACTTTCACTTTTTTTTGTCATCTACTCTCGTTGGCCAAGAGTTGGGGGAGAGTGAGTTATCAAATCACTGATACGAGGACATCAGAAACGCAAACAGCTATTTCATCTATGTTTGTTATACAAATAGAGAGAGAAAAATGAATTTTGCAAAACGAAAAGAGAATAAAGTATAATGAAAAAGAGAATTGGGAGAGCTGCTGTACACAAAGCACACGACATGAATTGGTGTGATGTAGGCCGAATCATGATAAGAACAAAACCTGTAGTGGGTGTTTCAGAAAAAATGTGTGCCAAACATAGTAATGGTAGTAGGAACAGGGATGGTAGTTACAAAAAATGGTACCCCTGTGTATAACAAGGAGATTCTATGATATATATCTTTTGATGCATGCAAATATGTCGTTCGAAATTACGGTTTAACATCCAATGTGTTTTCGAACGAAATTAGTTAAAAAAAATTTGGTGCCGATCTGGCGATGCCCGTTCATCCTTCTATATCACGAATAGAATGTCCGATTTTCTTCAAATCATTATCACACTTATAGTATGTCTACTTTACAATCTTTTTGCCAGGTTAACCTTTGCTAAATCCAGTAAATTGTAAACGTAATATTACATCAAGTTTGAATGTAGTATCGGCCTTCGCAGTTCCAAGTTGACGCATCTCAATTTGCATACTTTTTATAGCAGATGGGGAAATAAGACAAAGAGGATATTCCTGTCAAACCAAACTTAATTACTTGCATGACAACGTTTTTGTTAAACTAAGGTCCAGTTTGAAGAAGAAATGCATCGGGTTGAGCCTATACATCCTTTCAAAATCCCACCCGTATGGACGAAAGAGGTCGTAAAACCAGTAAACAAAGTCTAAATGTCGGGCGGGGCCGACTTTGTGATACCCTACACCACTCTGCATATTTAGTAGAGCTTCATATAAACAATAAGAAATAAAAAATATAACAAATCGGATGAACAGTATATATGGGAGCAAAAGCTATATCTGAACCGATTTTCACCAAATTTGACATACTTGTTTCTAGGCTCAATTTTGTCGTAAGTGTCATCCAATTTGAGCAAATATTACAAGTTTGGTGCAAAATAAAAAGCTAATCGGACGAAGATATATGTGGGAGCACATATTACGGCTGTGCAGAACAAATTCAACAAATCGGATGAACAATATATATAGGAGCTGTACCTATATCTGAAAATTGCATAATATTTGGGCTGATATTACACGTTTGGTGCACAATAAAAGGCAAATTGGACGAAGATATACATGGGAGCTTTATCTAAAATTTAACCGATTATCTCCAAATTTAATAGGGTTCGTGTCATTTGTATCGGACATTAAATGCGACCTGTACTTTGTGTACAAATACCGAATATATGGAATTACTGTTATATTGGGTCCTTTACGAAGACATGGACCTGTATATGCAATTTTTGTCATAGGCCATTGCAATATTCAAATACGTTACTTAAAACAATCCCGGTTAAAAATGTAGTTAAATTCATGAAAATACCGAATATAGGGAGGTACCGTTATATGTAATTTTCTGTCACAGGGATTAGTTAGTCCTCAAAGAGTACGAGTTTTACTCTCTACCCTTTTTTGTGTGGGAGCGTTCCCAAGCCACTCCTGTTTGAAAAGTAAGAGTGAGTATTCGAAACGCACTTAATTGAGTAAGAGATTGCTCTAAGAGTGAAATCAAGCGGAAAAAACACAAAAGCAAAAACAGTATCATACGAGTGTGCAATGTTAGGCGCCAATGTTCTTCAACGTGTTAGGTTTGGATCGCTTGCAGCTGTGGTTTGAGAAAATACTCATTCATGCAAATGCAACAATAGATTTCGTTCGAATTTTGACCCCTTCCCCCTATTGCTCCATTTCATTCTTCTACTCCGATGAATCCTCCTGCTCGAATTCGAGCAAAGAGTGAAACTCGCTCGTATTTCACAGATCTGGTAAGGAAAACAATCGACGAAGTATATATGTGTTAATAAAATACAACTCTGTTTCGAAACAATTTATCTTATGTAAATGCCGACTTTTTTCCTATTAAATCTCCCTCTTTATTCTTAATTAATTAAATTTATTAATTAATAATTACTAAGAAATCTCATATCACTAAAAGTATCATCATCTCCAAAACTATCATCCCTGTTCACCATACAAATGAATAGGTAGGTATGTTAACCGAAACTGCACAACAAAAAATAAATGTTATGGTTCAGAGCGAGAGTCCTAAAAGTTAGCATTTACATGTGTGTGTGCGTGTGTAACAAACAAAAACTACTGTTTTCAGTATGCTTGCTGGCTTCTTTGTTGTTATTGATGCTGTACAGACAGACGGGTAGGTGGGAAAAATGTGTTTTTAGTAACTCAAGTTATGGTATGTAGAGAGGGGGCGAGTGTGGATGCGAGAGACACACTTTGGGAATTTTTGCATAACACTTTTTCAAATTACAATTTTCACTTTCATTTTTTAATTTAAATTTCTTAATGATTTTTTCTCAGGGATTACTTTTTTTCTTCTTTTAAAAAATCTCTTAAAATTTCAATGATATTTCATAAAATTCTCCGAATAAACAAAACAAATTTTTAATATATATATTTTTAATTTTTTTTTAATTTTCACTTTTTCAAATTGTCTTCAGTTGGGTTTTTCCGAACACCACAAACGTTGGCCAACACGACTGTTATAAAACTGTTGATGGCACAGGTAGAGACTCAATGAATTCCTTTCGTTTGTTTCGCTGTTCTAAAACATCGCATTTTGTTCTAAACGACGAATCAAGTTCAAGCGAGAGAAAGAGAGCGTAAAATCGTCCTCATGGTTTGGGGGAGTGTGAGTTATAGGATAATATGAAATGGTAAAAGTCATTGACTACGACTACTACTAATGTGTGGGAGAGAGGACTTTGGAAAGAATGCACATTCGCAAACACAAATGTTTTCGCTCTCCCTCTCAATTTTATTGTCAGTTAACTTTTAACGTTATGATTCTTTTGATGGCAGCTGCTTTTGTCAGCTGCAGCTTCCTTTGAGACAAATAACTGATTTTTATTTGATTATAGATTTTGACAAGGGATAAAAGTGTGTCAGATTTTTTTATAAACGTATTTATATGGACACCCAAGATGATTGTTGGTATCAACACCAACACAAGTGTATCTTTCGAGACGAAACTGTTGATTGTTGATTTTATTAGTTAATTAGTGGGTGTCGTATACGTGATATGGATTATCTTTTATTACCACTCATACGCCATGATGGTAAATACTAAATGCGACAGAATTCAATTTTCAATAATATTAAGAAAACAAGTTAAAAGACCCTCAGCCTAGCGTTATGAGTGTTAAAACTGTTGACCCTTTATGGGGGAGGTACTAGAAGGAGTGGGAAGGAGACCTCTGGTTGAGAGATATTTTTAGAAAAACATTGCTAATTTGTTTCGAAAGTTATAAGGTATGTACCAGAAGGGGTAGGCCGATATATCCCATCGCCACACTAGATATTTCATTAGTAAATATATTGGGATGCGTGAATTTTTAAAAGAATCGGATGCTTTTTCGCTTTTATGAGCGTTTTGTTCTTCAAAATGTTGACACCTTTGTAGGAGAGGTACCAAATAGAATATGCCGATATCTACTATTTTCACAACATACCTTGAGTTGATTGAAATATTGGAATGTGTGCTTATTTCGCATTTTATGAGATATAGAATAATTCGTTGTGTGGGAGGTATGAGAAGGAGTTGACCGATGTATACAATCATCACACCAGATTTTGAATTATCAAAAATATTGCGTTGTGTGAAACTTTAAGACAATCGAAATCTTATTTCACATTTTATAAGAGTTTTAATTATTCCAAATTCCGTCCCATTGTGAGGGAGGTACTTGATAGAGTGGGTCGATATTGTACATTTTCGCACCTAACCTAGCACTGACGGAAATATTGGAATGAGTGAAATTTTTCGGGCTGTTATTTCACATTTTATAGGAGTTATAATTATTCCAAATTTTGACCCTTTGTGGGAAGATACCAAAAGAAGTGGTCCAAAATATTTCGTCTTCACACCAAATCTTGTGTTTGTAGAAATATTGGCATGTGTGAAATTTGAAGATTTCAAATTTTATAGGAGTTATAATTATTCAAAATGTTGACCCTTTGTGAGGGAGGTACTTGTTGGAGTAGGCCGATATTTTTTATTCTTGCACCTGACCTAGCACCGATGAAAATATTAGGATATACAAAGTTTTTACAAAATCGAATGTTCCCTTATTTTTCTTTGAGGTAAACAATTTTCTCAAGAAAAGTAGAACTTTTGTGGGGGAGGACCAGAAGGAGTGTACAGATACTGCCCATCTACGAACTCGACCTAAGTTTGACAATAATATTACGATGTACCAAGTTTGGACGCCAAACGGCATAATTTTTACATTTTTTTTAAATTTTATTAAATGAAAGCAAATTGTCGGAAATAGCATTAAATTTTAGACTAAGTTTAGATTTGGTCAACTTTGGCACAAATTATGGCCTTCAAACGGCCAGTGAAACCGTCACACGCTGCCCGAATGTTGCTCTGTGGTATTTTGGCTCATTCCCGGCAAAGCGCTTGGCTTTGGTATTTTTTTACTGCCAACATTGCGTTCCAAATACTCCAGACACAATTGTCCAACGGATTGGTATCCGGAGATTTTGATGGCCATTGTGCGCTGGAAATGAAGCGAGGAACTTCATTTTGTAACCATTCATGGGTGGAGCGTGCTGAGTGCGATGGTGCTGAGTCCTGTTGGAATGACCAAGGTATGCGGCCAAAATGTTTGCGTGCCGAAGGCTTTAATACACCCTCCAGAATATTTTCGCGATAATATTTGGCATTTATTCTGATGCCACGGTCGATTAATACGAGCGGAGAGCGACCATCGGCTGTTATTGCGGCCCACACCATCACCATGGCCAGCGCTTGAGTTCTTGTGGCCAACCGAAAGTGCACATTTTCAGCTGACCTCTTTGGCAAGTAAACACGATCAATTTGTTTAAAAACTGATGGACAGCAAATGTTTTCTCATCGGAGAAAACCAAATTCGGCAGTTCACCACTTTCGGCCAAGCGAAGCTTTAACTCTTTTGAGTTTATTTTCTTTCTGTTGCGGTGTAAGATCGTGCACTTTTCAGCTTTACCCCGAGCATATTTTTCAATGTTTGCCGAATGGAATATTGCGATATGTTGAGCTCACGAGCCATTTTCGGCCACGACGTCGGGTTTCGATCAAGTCGCTCCTTTACTTTTCGAATCATTTCTGCTGATGTTGCTGTTTTGTTCCGTCCATTTCCTTGACGTCGGACTACGCTACCAGTATCACGGTAACGAGCGATGGTACGAGACTTATTTTATTCACATTAAAATGCTGGAGTGCTCTAACGATATCCACTTGTGGTTTTCCAGCCAAATATAAAGAAATCACACTATCACGCTTGAATTCCATCACGAATAACTTTTTTCTGAAAAATTCTCACCAAAATACTTGTGTACGCTTGTAAACAATAAACGAGTGGCTTAGAAATGGCAGCAATCTGAAGGTGGTTGCAGTTTTTAATCTCACCCTGTATATCCTATCTGGCCATATGGCTGGGTGTATAGAAACCTTTTGATTATGAGAGTAGAACAGAAAAATAACTGATATGTGTATCAATGTTTTGAAAATTTACATGGCAACCTAAATAGAGGGGCAAATTCCTTTCACATTTCTTGAAATTTTCGTGTTAAAATTTCCCTTAAAAACAATTCTGGTATTGTTATCAGCAATATAACCGAAGACACCAGTCCTAGAATGCAAGAATTCCAAGTAATCTTAACCCGACAGTTTTAAAAAATGTGAAGGAGAGAGGTAACATGGCGATGTTAACTTTCAAATCTTCGATGCATGTGTCTTCTATTTTTACCACTTATTTCCTAATCTACTGAGTTTTGGCTTTTTTGTTGTCAGTGTAATTAATAAAATAAAAGTAAATAAAATGACCTTATTATTCAGAAAACTGCAAACCCGCCAAAAAAAACCAAATACCTACCATAAACAGCGAATGAAAGACATAAACTATTTTTTTAAGACTCAACTAGTTTCACGTTAGTTTCAGATGTTTCCCTCATTGTTTCTTTGCACATTTAAATCTTAAATAAATGTTTAAAGAATATTTACTTATCTGCTTAATAAAGCTAAGGTTTAAATCTAGTTAAAACAAAAATATATATAACAGTGATGAATATATTACAAATAGTTTGTATATATAAACACATATATATAAACTATATTGTTATACATATTAATTTCAATTTGATTTAAAATATTAAATTAAAAGACATTAAAATAAATCTTTTTTTGTACTGTTCTAGACACTAGAAACCTTTAACATATTTCTTAGCTTTCTTTTTCGTTTTCGATCGATCCAATGAATTTGTTGTTGTATTAAGAGGAAGTTCTTCAATGTTAGACGTATTGATTGTTTGAGTAATATTTACATCTGCAATTTGTGTCGATTGAATAACATTATCAAAATCTATTGTGTCTTGAGTTTGATTGAAAAGCAAACTATTTTCCGCTTCTGCAGTTATGTTTGAGACATCATGTCCAGGTATTGATGCGTTAGTTCTTGGTATAACAACCATGGCAGTGCTCGTATTGTGATTAGTTTCAAGCCAACATTGAACTTTCTTATCTGGATCTGGCTTAACAAGAAGGTTGGACTGTAAATTGCCCAAGTTTACATCATCTTTTTCGTCTTCCATGTCAATATCCCATATTGACAGGAGATCTGGAACCAATGCATCTTTGTAGGAATGTAAAGCTCTAAATGATTTCTGCCAACGACCCAAATGAAGACGTTTTCTTTTCTTTTTGACTGGCGTTGTTCGAGCTGGAATTTCTTGTGCGGGTTGCTCGTTTTCACTAAAGCTGTCGTCCATAGCCTCCATATCTTGTTTGACGTCACTGTTTAGATACTTGCAAAGGAAAATCTTGCGCATACCTAAAAAAGTATATATTAGTTATAACAGAATATAAAATTTTCAATATCAAAGAACTTGAGGAATACATAGAATAATTTACTCACCTTTCATATTCTTTATTTCAGTGTAGTTCAAGACACGCTTTTGTTCTACAAGTTTTTTTGCATATTCGGCTAACATCTCGTTGCTGTTTTCATTTCCCCTTACATCAGGTTGTTGATCATCTTCTCGTTTGGTTAATGTACGAAGAAAAATGTCACCCAAAGAGTTTGACGTTAACAGCGTACCTAAAGGAGCCTCGTTTCCTTCCAGAAGAGGATGACAAAAACTCATGCCTGTGGTGCATGACATTAACCTATTTTTTAAGTTTGCTTCTGGCTGCAAGCAATGACCCTCAAGTCGTGCAACTTCGTATGCTTCAAGTAAACTGGGAGGTTGGTAGGGCAAACACGGAGAACTGAAAAGATGTTTGGGAACACGTTGTGATGTTGTTACTGCCATTTTTTCTACGTTCTTCTTTCTAGACAACTGGCATATATGTAGATCACCGGCAATGGGAGAAGACAATGCTATATATTCATGATTACGCACTCTATATGTATCTATCAACAATGGGGAATACTGTAGCTGGTGAGACCAACGACATATAACCCCCTCAGGTTCATCAAATGAAAATTCTTTCATATAACGTATATCCATACAATGCAATTTATGATTTGTAGCCACATAAAAGAGATTATTGAAATCACTTGGCTTAATGGCGGTTATGTGATCACATAAGGCATTGTGTTCGATGACACTTGTGGCCGCTGCCATCCATTGTTCTGGTTTGGTGCGTATATCGATGAGACAAAATTTATACTCGTTAGCATACAGAAATGTATTCTCACGCCAAGGTTTTATAGAATTCCACGATGGATTGAAACCATTCGATTCAATTTTAAACAAATCGCTTAGTATAGGCTCGCTGGCTCCGATATCGTACAGACGTACATGTTGTTTCATTGTTGTTAACAGAAGTTTATTGCAGTCACGATCCGATTGTGTAAAACTTATAAATGGTGTAGATTTTGTACGAAATTGTGTTAAAATTCTTAGTTTGTTTCTTTCAGTCAGTGTATTGATTGCAATTGAATTTCGTTGACGGGTAATAAAGCAATTTTGATCGTTTGCATTGGGCGATTTCATTGGTTGTATTTCAAATATTTCACAATCTTCTTTCGATGTAATTTTATCCAATGATTGTAAAAAACTATTTTCATCGGTGTCCTCAGTCTTACATAATTTCATTATTTCTGGAAAAATGTAAATATCATTATTATTTGTCATAATCTTTGAAAAAAAAAATCTTTTTAATTGAATGTTATTACTTATAATAGCTAAAAAATTTGGGTAATTTTTTGTTATTAACATAAAAATATAAGATGAGTGTCTCTAAATTAAAGTTGTATGTTAATTTCATGTGTTAAATCCAACAAAGATCTATGAAAAATCCAAAACCTCGCTTGATGGTTCAAATTGTCAAATAAAAATCCCCTTGATATCAATAATATTGCTGAAGCAGTATCAAGGTCAAGGTTTCTTTGTGATGAAAAATTTTAAAACGCCGATACACCTGTCTTCTACTTCTAGATCTACCTTCATAATCTACTGGATTTTTTCAATAATTATTTTTTGTATTAAAAATTTATAATTTGATCGACATTAGACGTAACTACTTTTGCACTTGTGCTGATTTCTACTCTTTATCAGCTCAAATTGTCCATGTGATTCCCGTAAATGCATTTGTGGCAATTAGGATACAAATTAATCTGCAGCCAAATATTTTCTTTGATGTGTGTATATTTGAATAATTAACTAAGTATACCGTTCTTACCAATTGTTTGTAAATTGGGTCCCACTGCATGTATAATGTGTCCCATTTCCGAATTAACGCACAAATTACCACCAGTATAGTAATAATCATAGCTTGCATTAAAATATGGATCGGGTTCTATCAGCAGCCTTTCGGCCATATCAAACACAGATGTGTGGTATATACCATTCTTTTCATCGGATCTTGTGGTTTTTTCTAAATGTTGGGAAAGCATGGTTAAATGTTATTGAGTGCATTTTATATTGATGTTTGGCTTACTTTTAATTGCATTATTATATGTACTTCTTGTTTTATATAAACGCTGACGATGTTTTTCCCTGGTCATGGGTCTTCTACAGCATAAATCTAAATTTTCCTGTATTATGTCGCCTATGAAAATGGGCCGAGGGATGGAAAATGCACATGTCGGATAATTACTTAGTTCATTTGGTGCATCCTGTGGCCAAAGGCCCACATTGAACGCCGGGAAGTTGTCGTGATCCACGTGATAGAACAGACCCGAACCATTGTGTAGCAATAATCTTTCTATTTCATTATTTTGATTATATTTAATGCACCGCATTTGCTTTGTATGCCGTAGTGATGACTCGAATTCAGCATCTGTTAGTTCAACCGGAGGATTTGTCCTGTTCCCGGCATTATCTTCCCCCATTTCAGCGTCTTCTTCATATTCATTGTCCTTGGCTTGTTGTATCTCGAGATTTGTTGATTTCCTCCTTTTATTTAGTCTCTGTAGACAACTTTTTGGAGTATCCAAGTAGAATCGCAATGCACGCTTAGGCATTCTATATAGCTTTTATTTTAAAACTTTGTAAATAAAAAAATCCACCAAACAGCACACTGTTTTAAGAAGCTGTCATGCCTGGTTGTTTATTTATGTTGAGGCATAAACAACGAAAACGTGAATTAGTTTGCCTTACGTTACGTTACATGTTTGACTAATTGAAGAAATAAGTAACAGCTGATTATGACATTAACCTATGAAGCAAATGTTTAGATTTGTGATTTGTAGTGTGTCTTGAAAGGAGTTATATGATATAAATTTCACTTTGAACAAATGAATTAAAATAAGTCAGTTTCTACACCATGCGCTTCTTTTCATTGTCCAACCGCGTCGCCAGCATACGCGCCAGAATTGACAACACATTCAGCTTACCTGAACGCTTCAAGGGCTCTTTTGTGGAAAGGCTTACAAATTACTGGAAAAGTCTTCTGACCGACTATAAAGATGTAGCCGTTGGAGTTGTCAAGGAAAGTATCAATAAACCAAAGAAAGCCATGTTTTATGGTGGACTTGGATATACGGCTTACTTGTGTGGTAAACGTAACCCTGGTGAAGAAGATTTTACTATGCAGTTTCGTTTGGCCACCAATAATATGATATTGGTACACCCATCACTGCAAAATCCCAACTCAGATGCCTACCTTAGACGACTACAAGAGGCTATCAATCAGAATCGTCTACGATTTTTGTCACTTGGTATCTTCACACTAGTGTGGGAGGATTTGTACGACAGTGATGACTGCACATACCCGGCAATATGTGAATATACAAAGGTTTCATTTTGGTCGATACCACAACATGTTGTGGATGTAGGATTTTGGAATAAATTTTGGCGCCTGAAATGGGAACTGCACAATTACGATGCAAATTATTTGTAATGTGAATATGCAACTAATGTTAAATTTATATAATTAATTTTTGTTTAACTAAAAATAAAAAAGTTAATAAATATCGTTAAAACTGTATATGCATTGAAATCATACACAAAATGGTAAACCTTGACAAAGCGCAGAAATTTAAATGTTGGAGAGTTTCACAACAAACAAATAAGAAATCCACACCATGTAAGTTGAAACAGCCTTATGAAAATATTGATAAAATGAGAAAAGTAAAGATTTTGACACCAACTGAAATATCAAAAACTTATCCCCCTTAAATCGCTTTAAAGTACTTTTAAGTTCCGGCCCACACTCCTCCTAACATGATTCTATTAAAATATTTGACAATTGAATATCACAAAAAATTAACAGGCGCTGGATATCTGTAGAATAAAATATTTACATAAGGAGCTGAAAACTTTGCAAAATGATGTGATATTTCTATTGTAAACGATATCAAATAAAACTGGATATGACTTGGAAACAAACTGAAATACCATTCAGCTCCCTTTTTACAATAAACATTTGTCGCTTTGCTAAAATATTTTACGTTGCTACCTTTTCTCCTATTAATTGAAAATTTTTTACTATGAAATTCCTACATTTCTAAACAGATTTATGTCTCTCACAAAAATGTCTTTATTTATCTAAATAAACAAGTTTATTGTTTTTATCAAACAACTGATAGGTTGGTATATACAATAGCTTATCTCTCAATTCAGAGATTGTACTTATTGAAAATCATTATTTTTATTTGTTTATCATATTATGTTTCTCCCTTTTACGATCCTTGGGCTGGTTCTTTTTTAACTTCCGTATTGTTGACATTTCCAAAATGTTTCTCCAACAAAGCTTCGCATAATTTTATCTTGTCACTGTCATTAATTTTACCCTGATACATGCCCTCTTTACCATTACCTTTACCATCCAATATTTCCATAAACTTTGGACCAAATTGTTCTACTAATTCCGGATCGCCCTTTAAAACCATATGACCTTTGCCGGGTTGACGTCCGACACTTGGCTCCGAAACGGTAAGGAAAAACAGCAATATACCCTCCACAGAGACATTTCTTAAAAATGTGTTAATAAAATCTGGTTCAATTCCATCCTTTTTGTGTAGGCTATAGTATTTTGGTAGGGGTTTTGGCAATGATTCCAATTTTTCAGCTTCCATAATAGCCAAATCTTTTAGAAGTTTTTGAAACGATTTCTTTGTTGCCTTTAAGTTGTTTTGCAACTTTTGAATTAGTTCGACGTGTTGTGGTGGGCCACCTCTGTAAAGCAAAACAAAAAATATAACTTAATAATGAATGGGGGTAATTAATTATCTTTGTGCTTACTTCAAGGCCAAAGTCACCTGTTGCTCCCTCTCAAAGCATTGTCCCAATACTTTGGGGACTCGTTGCCCAACAACAAAATAAACATTAACACTATTCTTGCTCTTCTCGGCATACAGCAGCTTGACGCATTGCAATTGCGATAGATTGTTGACATGGGTACCGCAACACATATTATCACGCTGGCCTTCAATACGTATAACTCGTACAGGCCCCTCGACATCTTTGGGTAGACCTCTGGGAGCTCTTAAGCCCTTCAGCTTAAATCCAAATAATTAGTTAATTTGTGTTTTATTTACATCTATCTTCCATTACCTCATGCAAGTCACTCTCTTCAATCAATGCCACACTAACCGGTCTACCCTCTCTTATAATATCGTTGGCCATATTTTCGATAACATCTAGGGACTCTCGGGTAATAACGTGTTTCGTGTTCAGTTCAATGTAGGAAACCTCACTTCCCAACCACCAGGATGTGGTATTGTAAGTAAATTCCTTATCAAATAATTCCGTAATTAAGTGCTGGCCAGAATGTTGTTGCATATGATCAAGGCGTCTTTCCCAATCAAGAACTTGTCTAGCCTCAGATCCAACTTCAAAACGTTTACAGGTTTCAACAAAATGAACAGCATCTTTGCCTTGGCGTATAACACTGCGAACGGGTAGACCATTAATTGTACCATAATCACAGGGTTGTCCACCGCCCTCAGGGAATAGTATAGTGTCTTCACATATCACATTGTAACCTTCCAATTCAATTGGCTCCGAGTCTCCATTGGATGGAACTTTCAATTTAGCTTCCTCACATGAAACAACCGTAGTCAAAAACTTAAAATAGAAACAACAGAAAATTATGTTTCAAATACAATTTATAACGTCCTGAATATGCAACTTATATCTGGATGATTTTTATTTATTTTAAATACAAACTTGTTTCAAAAAGCTATCCTCCTGGCATTTGAAAACCATTTTCGTATTGCGCTTAAGATTTCGTTTTAATTGTTATTTCGCAATTTATTTATTATGCAAATAATGCAATTTTGTTGTGTTTTTGGCAAGCGTTAGAATGTAAACACAAATCAGCTGTTCAATGTTAAAAGACCAACAAATACACGTGTGTTTTTCGTTGTAAGAAATTAAATAAATATTAGGTTTGTCTAAATCTTGGAGGTTTTACTCTGCGATTAAAAATATCAAGGAAAATATTGATTACACAGACACACTTATTACGTCCTATGCATTTTATTTCAATTTTTTAATCAGAATACATTTTTAATTTCAATAAATCTAAAATGCAAAGAATTGAAAATTTAGATTGTTTTCAGTGTTGGAGGAATAAAGAAAATGTACGCGGTGAAAAGATCAAATTGAATAACCCAAAATACTGTTGGTTATATCCGAAAAACAAAAGTAAGGATCTGAATAATCTTTTACCAAAATTTGAAAATTGCAACGCCTCTTTATATACAAAATGTGATTATTATTTGGAAAGGCATGTCCACGAAATTATACTGCGTTTGGAAAAGCTTTTTAAATCGCATAATGATCTGACGAATAAGGAATTGGACATTCAAAACCAACTAATGGATATAATATGGATTAATTCACAAAAATATTTAATTTTAAATGGGTAAATTTGTTATTTAAGCTATAGAAATAAAGCATACGCCAAAGAAAACGCTTTAAGGTGGGGACATAAGTCGCTTGGCATCATTGCATGGCACATTAAGCGAAATTAATGAGGAACAACGAAAAGCGTCACTAAATGTGTCCAGCGTGGATGCAAGCAGCTTCGGTAGCCTTACATTTATTTATACCATGTTTAAAAAAGCGTATGCAAACTAATACTGTCGCATATTAAATATTAATTGTAAAATAATTAAATCAAATTATTTAAATATTTTCAGGAATGGACTTTGTGTGAAGACCTATCCAGAGATTATATCAAGTAGATATGAACAGGAAATTTTACAGGAGCTTCTCTACAACATTGAAAAGATCCATAGTTCGAAGTAAGACCCTTACTTTAGTACCTACATACTAGCCTATACTTAAAATTAATTTTTTTTCTTATTCTTTCAGCTGCCGCATGAGCAAATCTTTGGAATATATCAATGAACAATTGATCGACCTAAAAAATTGGTGCAGCAAGTTGGATTATAAGGTGGATAGTCCATTTATATTGGGAACCTATTATTTGAAATCTCTGAGCTACACCCGTAATTTAATTGAAGACCTTTACCAATATTTCCATACAAATCTCAGTAAATTAAAATCCTGGGCTGAATTAATTACACCCTCAGATCCGGTATCTATTGAAGATTACAAGGCATTAATACAGCCTTGCAAAGATTATGAAACTAACGTGGTAGAGTATTTAGATTCCTGCAGATGCATGCGTTCAAAGAGATTCAAATGTCGAGAAAAACAAACATAATTTAGACATGAACAAATTTAAATGACTTAATTCATATGCTGATTAATATATTTTTCTATAAATATTATACTAGTGTACTTGTCACATTCAATCAAATATTTCTAATAGCGAAATCTACAGAAATCCTCTGGTATTTTTTTCGAGTTTTTATTTTTAATTAATTTGTTTTTTTTATTGGTTAAGTCTGTATCCCACCACTGGCTTAATTATATATTATCCTCTATTGCAGAGAGCAATGTTTTTTCACCAAAACTGACAGCTTTGCAATGTTGGCTGATCGCTTCCAATGTCATGATTTTATGGCGTAAAATGAAATGGTCAGTTGGCTTTTTCAGCTTTTTGATATATTTGACTTTGGTGAAAAGCAAGCTGCCTGCATAAATGCAACAGGCAAGTTCAAAAGAAACTATAAAAATACCTAATTAACGAACTTGTTTATTCGTGTAGCGCTCCATTTTTTTCTAACCTCGTACCATGTTTTTAAATTGTTTTTTTTTTTTTTGAATAAGTAAATTGTTATACCTTTTTTATACGGCACTAATCGGATGTTGTTATGATGTCCATTTGTCAACTTTCAATTTTAACGAATTTGAATAATTTTTTTTTTTTAATTCATAAACACTTCCTCATCGGCCACAAACAGCTGATTATGGATAATGTGACGATTGTCTTCTTATACACACCTAATGTAATTTCAAATCTGACATATCAAATGTTATTAAAAAGTAGACTGTCAAGAGTGTCAAAAGTAAATACAATTATTATTTTTTTTATGACAGCCAAACAACTTTGACCGGCACTATTTTTATTTATTAAAAGAAAACAACCATGGCCGACAATCAACAAAAACCAAACAGTGAATTGGAAGAAGAGATCTTGAGCCAGCTCTTAATTTTGGAAAAAGAGTTTCGGGACCATAACACACTCATGAAGAATGAACTTGGACAGCAAAAAGAATTGATATCTAGGTTATGGGTGCTATCACAAAGATATATTTTACTCATAAGGTAAGGCCAATGGTAATTATACTTGTAGTCCATAAAGAGGTTCCAAATGCAACTCGTTTTATATAACAGCACGGGACCATGTTGTAAATTTCCGGAAATATTTGCTGGACCTGCAGAAGAGACTATCTTGCAAGAATTCTCGGATAAGCTAAAGGCTGTTAAGGCGTCCAAGTGGGTATAAATCAATAAAAAAAAACAATATTTCGAGCTCTAATTCTTTATTGTTTTTTGAAGTTGTCGCATATCTGTTTCTCTGAAGGACCTAAGAGTATCACATCGAACATTTGAGAACTTATGTTCCAAATTGGATATGAATGTAGAATCACCAATTATACAAGGTGATGCCTACCACAAACCATTGGCATATTTTATTGAATTGACCAGTGATCTGTTTAAATTCTTTCATGCCTGGATATTAAAACTCAAATATACATCACATTTAATTGATCCATATAAATGTGATGGTATCGAGCATTACAAGACTTTGATGGAACCTTCGGAGGATTTTGAGGAATATCTTAACGTTGGCCTTACCTATTGCAAGTGCTTGAGACCAAAACCAACATGTTAAATGAAATTGTAGAATAAATAGCATTTTTATTTGGTATATAGATATTTACCAACTGATCTGTGATAAATTTTGACATGAAGTGTGTTTTTAATCTCTGTTAAATTTATATGTTAATTACAAAATTTAAAAGAAATGTAAAAATTGATTTAAAAACAATTAATCTCATTAATCACCTCTACATGGTGAGATGAAAAAACTGCAACCAACTTCAGACTGCTGTCATTTCTAAGTCACTCGTCCGACAGCTGTTAAAATTATTCCAGTGACAGCGCATTACATTGTTTGCAAGCGTACAAAAGTATTTTGGTTAGAATTTTCCAGAAAAAAAGTTTTTCGTGATGGAATGCAAGCATGATAGTGTGATTTCTTTATATTTGGCTGGAAAACCACAAGTGGCTATCCAGAATGAATTAAATGTGAATTAATCTTTTGTGTCTCGTACCATCGCTCGTTACCGTGTTACTAGTAGCGTAGCCTCACGTCAAGAAAACACTAACATCGGGAAAAATGGTTCGAAAAGTAAAGAAGCGACTTGATCGAAATCCGCGTCACAGTGGCCGAAAAAGTGGAAAGTGTCGACCACCTCAAGCAAGCGCTTCGCCGGGAATGGGCAAAAATACCGTAGAGCAACATTCGGGCAGCGGTTTCATTGGCCGTTTGAATGCTATAATTCGTGTCAAAGGTGACCAATTCGAAAAAAATCTAAGCTTATTCTAAAATTTTATGCACTTTGCGACATTTTTTGCTTTCATTCAATTAAATTAAAAAAATGTAAAAATTATGGCGTTTGACTTTTTTGCAGCTTTTTTATTTCACCCTGTATGAATTTGACAACACTGGTTAGCTATATATGGGTTTTAAGATTTACCTTCGGAATAAAAAGATTTGCCTACGGAATAAAGTCTTTGTGGGTCGCCCTCTTCAAATGACTAGTGGTCCGGTCGTTTGTGAGTTTAGTGTAAAGTATACATAAAAAATATTGATCCCTCGATCGCGCTACGTAACATTCGATTCATAAATTCCCTCAAAACGTTAGAAATGGGCTAAAATCCTTCCAAATGTAATGACAGTGGTCATTACTGATATAACTATTTGAAGATGGAGATGTAATGGAAATTAAACGTCTACTCTATTGATGCCTTGTGTTATTGGACAAAAGGTAGGTACACCTTTTTGCCGTGTGAAATTTTGTCCAGGACTTTCATTTCTTGGCACTGGAGAGCCTTATCAAAAAGAGTTTATGAGAGAAAGGATTTGGTATTCCTTCCTACACATGATGTAGAGCAGTATATAATGTCTTTGGATATTGTTAATTAGACGCATTTAAACTTGAAGCTTTAAGGTATTTGATGGAAACCGATTCGATTGGAAACCGCCAAAGAATATATAGTACCAAATTTGATTTAATTTTTGCGAGTAGGGTGCTTGCACGTAACTTTTACATTTTGTCAGCCATTGTGTTTAAATCATTGTCATTTTGGTTGAACTTGTTTTTCGGTATAGGGTATAGGATGTCCCTTGCATAGATTGCAGCGGCATAGCTCATAGACCTTTAGACCAATTGTGTCCATTCTTGATTAAAGAAGCTGTAAGTAAAAATAGGAAAGTATTTGGATTTAAAAAAGTATTGAAGAAATAATATGTTTTAGGTTTTAAAACCAACATAGCTTTTTTGCCAACCTGGAAGTGCTAACAGATTCAACTTCTATTAGGGAGAGTCTCTCTTCTATTTGCCCAATATTTTAAATCTCAGAAACCCTAAAACAACTTTTCGATAATAGCCAAGATTTTGCTATGAACTCCATATAGCGCCGAAGAACACATCCTCACAAAAACAGTTCATGTGAGTTCAGGTCCTGGATCACTCTTATAAAACGGTGGCCACCAGTTTTTGTTTATCTGAAAGCCCCAATTGATATTCATGACTGCTTCTCCTAAAACTTTGATTGTTTACCTCCTTCCTCCCATGGTATCTCTACCAGCCGGTATTAATTTCAAGGTCTATTTGAAATTTCAAAATGTATCCACAATTCCTTCCCTTCAAAACGTAAATTTGTTTACAAATTGTACCACATACAGATTTCTTTTAATAATAAATGATAATAATAATAATTAATTGTTCTCTAAGTACAAAAAATAAACCATAATAGTTCTAAAACACGATCAATCATAGTACTCAACAAACTCAAAATGAGGCGGTCAAATTTGCAACTCGATTTGCAAAATTGCACATTTCCCTATCATTTTCACAACAACAAAAATATCGACGTTCATGAAAAACGCATGGCCTCCAATGCTTTTTCCGTACACACACACAAACAAAACACGTTTCAACAATTCCTGTAGTCCACTTCTGTGTAACAAATTAATAACAAAAACACACTTTTCTTATTTATTATTACATCTTCAAAGCTGTCCGAAGGGGACTTTTGTTATTTTATTAAACATTATTTTTTTTGGTAACATCACTGAAACTTTTATATTTAATATAAAATAAAATCCATTTCAGAATTTGCAATAAATCCAGCAAAAGTCATACTCCGCCCTCCAGTCAGCTTTGACCACCATAGCTCTCTAGCGAAGTCTTCTGGCTTCACGTTCAGATTCCAACAATGTCAAGATATCGCCTTCACGAACGGGTCCCTTAACGTTGCGGATGATTTGACGGTTTTGTTCACCAATGAACTCCACTTTGACTTGGGTACATTGACCCTGGGAGCCAGTGCGGCCCAAAACTTTGATAACACGTGCCCAAACAACTGGTTTATCCATGTTTTATTAAAAAATTTGTGATTTTTGTATAAAAAAATTCACGTGTGACACACGCACAAAGTGACAGCCGGAAACGAAAAGAAAGAATTTTTCGTTAATTTTTGATGAATTTGTTTTGTTTCGTTGAATCTTCGTTCAGTGTGCCCATTGAATGTCAAATTTTTCGCAACAACAGAGTTGTAATCGAGAGGGTATCGTGAGTTGATATCCCGTCGTTACTGGATGACTCATAACTATCATTTCAGTGTTAAATACCTATATTTTCTGTGCTGTTGAAAAAAACCATAAAATTTCTTTATCCTTAAGAAAGGTATAATCGCTTATGAAACAGGGACTTATTGCTTGTTTAGTCAAATTCATTACTAAGAGGGGGTTGATTGTCAAAATTGTATTAAAGTCGAGGCGAAATGTTTTTTTGGGGTAAAACAAAATATTCTATGTTTTAATATGTTCTAGTGTTGTTGAATCTATTTGTGAATAATTCTTACAGGAAACGGGTATAGCCTCCGTATTGTACCACAGGTTCTGGAGCAAAACAATTAGCAATTTTCAAACCTTTCTTTAATTTAGTACAAACTAACAAAGTTTTAATCAAAATTATAATATTACGATGTCCCAAACTGTGTATATGTCTTAACAAAGCAGGGGCACCAAAAGAAAATGATTTGAAATTATTTCAAAATTCGTATTTTTTTCTTTACGGGCAACAAATAGTATTATTTTGTTGTAACTCTATTTAGTGCAAAACCCAATTCTGTGCAAAAAAAAACATATTTTATTAATATTTTTTGGGGTTTCTCCAATATACAGGGTGAGATTAAAAAACAACAACCAATTTCAGACTGCTGTCACTTCTAAGCCACTCGTCCGACAGCTGTTAAAATTCTTTCAGTGACAGCTTATTATATTGTTTACAAGCGTACAAAAGCATTTTGGTGACAATTTTCCAGACAAAAAGTAATTCGTGATGGAATTCAAGCGTGATGTCTTTATATTTGACTAGAAAAACACAAGTGGCTATCGTTAGAGCACTCCAGCATTTAAATGAGAATAAATCTTCTGTGTCTCGTACCATCGCTCGTTACCGTGATACTGGTAGAGTAGCCCGACGTCAAGGAAGACGACGAAAAAAAAAACAGCGTCAGCATAAATGGTTCAAAAAGTAAAGAGGCGACTTGATCGCGTCGCAGTGGCCGAAAAATGGCTCGTAAACTGAATTCGGCAAAAAAATTGAGATCCATTCGACAAATATTGAAAAATGAGCTCAGGGTAAAGCCATTGAAATTCCAAGAAGTGCAAGGAGCTACTTCACTTAGCCGAAAGGGGTATACTGCCGAATCTGGTTTTCTCCGATGAGAAAACATTCGTTGTGTAGCAGTTTGCAAAAGAGGATAGCTGAACATATGCACCTTCGGTTTGCCACCAGAACTCAAGCCCCGGCCATGGTGATGGTGTGCGCCGCCATACCAGCCTATGGTCGATCTCCGCTCGTATTAATCCACCGTAGAATCAGAGTAAATGCCGAATATTATCGCGAAAATATTCTGGAGGGTGTTTTAAAGCCTTGGGCACGCAAAAATTTTGGCCGCAAACCTTGGAGACTCAAACAGGACTCAGCACCATCGCACTCAGCACGCGCCACCCAAGAATGTTAACAAAATATGGTTCCTCGCATGGTACAATGAAGAGAAGGTAGGTCAAGTTTGAAAAAATTGCAAGTATAAAGGTCTACCTGTTTGGCTTGTAATGTCAGAATTACTATCAAAACAATAAAAAAACAAACAACTTGTTGCATTGATTTTGAATAAATAATTTAAAACCGCGAAAACTGAATGAATGGTCAAAATTTCGTTTCAATATCATGTTCTATATATCTCTTATGGTTTATTTCGCGACAAAAACTGTAGATTTTGTTGATGCATTCGTTGCAATAAGCATTTTGAAAACACCCGAATTTGAATATTTTCTGAACAATTTTTTATTATTGAAAAGAAGACACACACATAAGCAAATGAAGTTGACATATTAAGGCAGAAAAATAAAAAAAAATTAAATCATATGGTAGTTCTGCCCTACCTTGAATTCATTGTACCATGGTTCCTCGCTTCATTTCCAGCGCACAATGGCCAGCATCATATCAATCCGTTGGACAATTGTGTCTGGAGTATTTTGGAAAGCAAGGTTGGCACTAAAAAATACTAAATTGTCGATCACCTCAAGCAAGCGCTTCGCCGGGAATGGGCCAAAATACCCCAGAGCAACATTCGGGTAACTTGTGACGGTTTCATTAGCCGTTTGAAGGCCATAATTCGTGTCAATTCGAACAAATATAAACTTATTCTAAATGTTCATGCTATTTCCGACATTTTTTGATTTTATCAATAAAATGTAAAAATTATGGCGTTTGACTTTATTTTTATTTATATCACCCTGTATATAAACAAATTTGTCCTATCTTTTGTAAACGTGTTCTAACTTTGTGCTATGTCATGACTGACTTAATATAACTTTGATTCAGACAATCTTCTAATTTTGTATTTGCCAGCTTAATATTTAGTCTCATATGTTATATATGTTTCTCATTTTGCACAAAAATTAATATAAAAATTTATATTAAATGGTCATCTATAGAAATACAATACTAAATGAATCACCCAGTTAATTTGACAACAATTTTATCAATGTCCAAACACTTCCCAAGTCGAAATGACAAATAACCAAATTTGACAACTCGGACACGTATGAAACATTTCGTTAATGACAACAACAAATCTTCGTTTGTGTGTTTTCTCCCATACTTCGGCTTTCATACGTTTTTCTGATTTCGCTGTCGTCACATCAGTTTTGTAGGGGAGCGTGTGAGTCGCGGCATAATTTTGTGCTTTATTTTGATATAGTCGAGTGGATTGAATAAGACATTAATTACAAAATGAAAAATTACATGCTAATTTTATTGTTGGTTCTGCCAACAATCATCTGCACTTTCAATGCCCGTAAGTAAATAACTATTATTTTTGTTAGAAAATTGTATCAAATCAAAGTTATTGAATGTGTGTGTGTGCGTACGTGTGTGTAAAGAGATAAATGAAGACATTTGAGTTGTTGTTGTGTTGCTTGCATTGCAAGAGAATTCGAGTGCCGACGTAATTTGACGTGGCAGAAACACAACGACGACCTCAGTGTTTTTTGACAATTGGAAAAGTCATTGCAATAATGAAAATGCTTATTTTTGAATGAAAATTGTTAAATTATAAAAAAATAATGCAAGATTTCGCATAAAATCTTGGTAAATGGTGTGTTGGCATTGATTTGATTGTCAGAACTATTTGTGTAGTTTGTAAATAACCTAATTTAACTTTCACTTTATAGCCAACAAATTTTCCGCCTTCGCCGAGGATGTTGTTGAGGATGATATTGTGGAAGCTGATGGTGATGATGGTTCCGTAACTGGAGAAGATGCCGAAACCGAAGATGATTCCGAGCCACTACAAACGACATCGCCCTATGCCGATACCTTCTTACTGTTTACCAAGCCCACTTATACACCAGGTCAACAATTGGATTTGCCCGGTGGCAAGCCTGTTGAATTCTTGATTGGTTTCACCAACAAGGGCCCCAATGATTTCGTTGTTGAATCTGTCGAAGCTTCGTTCCGTTATCCCATGGACTTCAACTACTACATTCAAAACTTCTCTGCCATCGCTTACAACCGTGAAGTCAAGCCTGGTTCTGAAGCTACCGTCTCTTACTCATTCTTGCCCTCTGACCAATTTGCTGGACGTCCCTTCGGTTTGAATATTGCCATGAACTACCGTGACTCCAATGGTGTCCAATTCAGCGAAGCTGTCTTCAACGAAACCGTCTTGATCTCTGAAGTTGATGAGGGTCTTGATGGTGAAACTTTCTTCTTGTATGTTTTGTTGGCTGGTGTCGTTGTTCTGCTATTGGTTATTGGTCAACAATACTTGTTGGGCTCTTCCGGCAAGCGCAAGCGTTCCGCTGCCAAGAAGACCATTGAAACTGGTACCGCTAACGACAGCACAATTGACTACGAATGGTTGCCACAAGAAACTTTGCGTGCTTTGCGTAAGTGTTTTAAGTGCTCTCTAGCATTTCACGTTTTAAATTCAATATTTTATTTTTATTACAGAAAAATCTCCACCCAAGTCAAAGACACCCAAAACATCGCCCAAGCCCGGCAAACAAAGCAGTCCCAAACAAACCCAGAGTCCCAAACCTAAAAAGGCTGTTAAACAACAATAAGCAGATGTAGCTTTACAATAAGATCATCAGTAATTTCAACACCACCACTACCACTCACACCTCAACAACGTTCATATAATTTATCATTTCATATCGAAAGTCTTTTTTCTTGGAATTTTTTGAGATTTTGTTATTATGGAAGAGTCCGCAGTGGAAACGATAAGCCAGGCCGCTAGTAAGAGATGTCTTCCTTTTAAAGTTGAGTTATAAGAAACAGCAGTTACGGTTTTATGGCTTTTAAAAATTTCGCAAACTATTTTTAAGCCGACTTTTTTTTATATATAAAATGTATTGTCTTCATTTATAGAAGATATTTTCCTATTTGTGTTTTTTTGTAAAAAATATAAAGGAAAACAAATGTAAAAAGACTATTTTATTAAAGTAATAACTTACTGAGCGGTATATTCTTATATGTCCCAGTTTCGTATAAGAATAATGTTGACATGGAATTCTTAGCGATGATATATGCGAAATTATTTTATTTCTTCTTCATCATTCTGTAAGTCAAACTTAATGCACTTGACATTCTTACAACAACAACAACAAAAATCCTTAGAGTAATTATTTTTTTAATAAAAAAAGGAAAACAAAAACTTACATGCTGGTGTTTTGAAGGGACATAATGATATTATGTTATAGTAGGTTACTGATTAATGACATGAACTGTGTTTTTAAACAGGCGTAAAACTGATTGCTTTTTTGTTTATTGTGGCATTGTATAGAACAAATGTAATACAGAATAACTATTTCCATGCTAAATAAAATTAAGTAAGCCGATATTGCATATTTCATACCATATAATGACCTATAACTAAATATGTTGATATCGGAGTCAACCGACATAGACATATATATTTTTGGAAAATATTTCGAGAGGCACAGTGGATCTAAAGCGCAAACAACTAATATATTGCACCATATTTTACAAGAGATTCGAAATTTAAAGGAATGGTTTTTATGCCCTCCACCATAGTGTGGAGGATATGTTAAGTTTGTCATTCCATTTGTTACAACTCGAAATATACATTTAAGACCCCACAAAGTATGTGTATTCTTTGATCAAAATAAAATTCTATGTAAATTTAACGATGACCGTCCGTCTGTGGAAATCGCTCTAACTCCCGAACGAATTGAAGTAGGCTGATAAAATTTTAGTTTGTAATGGGTACTATAGCCTGTGACAGAAAATTGACTATGCAGGTCCACGTCTGCGTATAGTCCCTATAGAACGGTACCTCCCTATATTCGGTATTTTGATGATTTTAGCGACGTTTCATATTTTCTTAATGGGTACTACAGTGTATGACAGAAAATTGTCTATGCAGATCCAGGTTTTCGTATAGTCTCTAAATATCGGTACCTCCCGATATTAGGTACTTCGATGATTTTAGAGACATTATTCACGGGAATTGTTTCAAATTTAGTATTTACAGCCTATGACAGTAAATTGTCTAAAATTGTTTTCGTATAGCCGGTATTTTGATGATTCACCGGAAATGTTTAAAATTTCGTATTTGCACTTTGTAATGGCTACTACAGCCTGTGACAGAAAATTGCAGAAAATTTATGACGAATTATATTTATACCCTACACCACAAGGTGGTCAGGGTATTATGTCTTTGTGCATTTGTTTGTAACAGGCAGAAGGAAACGAGATAGACCCATAGTTCCTTTTGATGATCTGCATAGAATCACATTCTGAGTCGATTTATGCATGTCCGTCCGTCTGTCTATGTATTTTTGTAAACAAAGTACAGGTCGCATTTATTGCCCGATCCAGATGAAATTTTGCACAGATCATTTGTTTGGCCCAAGGACGAATCCTATTGAAATTGGAAATAATCGGTCAAAATTTAGATATAGCTCCCATATATATCTTCGTCCGATTTGCCTTTTATTGCGCACCAAACGTGTAATATCGGCTTGAATTGTATGGAATTTTGCATATACACCCAAATTAGGCCTGAAAATATGTATGCCGAATTTGATCGAAATCGGTTCAGATATAGCTATAGCTCCCATATATATTGTTCATCCGATTTGTTATTTTTGTCCACCACCGCCGTAATATGCACTCTGCAACAACAATATTTGGGGAAATATATCAAATATAGCTCAGAAATACATTTGCTAAATTTTATCGAGATCGGTTCAGATTTGGATATAGCTCCCATATATAACTTCGTCCGATTTACTTTTTATTGTGCACCAGACGTCTAATATTTGTCCACTGCTGCTTTTTCACTAGTTAGACTCTGTTTTTTATTCCATGGTTAGTCTTATAAATATGTATATGCGGACAGACGCTTGTAAATTTCTGAAATCGTCAAACTCAATGTTAACTATGGTCCATAATTATAAAATTACCGTTAACAAATGTCACCCTGTAAAATAAGTAGGCACATATTTTTTGTATCACCCTGTAATTATATTGTCTGCATAGCATGTTTCCCAACCAAGTGACATAATACAGGGCGTCATACACACTTATGTTATTATTTTCGGATTATACAGCCCGATAGAACTTTAAATTGTAAAAAATAACACAAAAAATTAAATTTTAATCAATTTTTTTTTTGAAAGATCAATACGTGACATTAACATTTGGAAATGATTTCGGGCATGTGGGCACCGTAGCTGTTTTTGACGAAGTGCATTCTGGACGTCCAAGTTTTGGCCACTTCTTCGAGCACTGCTGGTCGTATGTCACGAATAATACGAACAATGCTAGCTTCCAAGGCGTCAATTGTTGCTGGTTTATCAGCATAGACCAGTGACTTCACGTAACACCACAGGAAATAATCGAGAGGTGTCAAATCGCACGACCTTGGAGGCCAATTGACAGGTCCACTTCTCGAAATCAACTTATCGCTTATATGAAAGAAATGTCTCCTTCAAACCCCCGGAGAGTCACATTAATACAAGACCAGAAGTTCCACAAATAGATGACCCGATTTTCTTCTCATCGAACATTAGCAGGTATTCTGTTAGAAAACCAAAGTTCCGCTCATAGAAGTGCCGAAGGTCATGGTAGAGAAGCCCAGAAGGCCTTCTAAAAGAAGACCAGAAGGTCCGCTCATAAAAGAGAAAATGGTCTTCTCACAGAAGACCATATTGTCTCTTCACAGCTCCTCTCTAAAAAGATCAGAACGTCTTTCTCATAGAAGACCAGAAGGTCTTCCTCAAAGAAGACCAGAAGGTCTTCCTCACAGAAGACCAGAAGGTCTTCCTCATAGAAGACCAGAAGGTCTTCCTCATAGAAGACCAGAAGGTCTTCCTTATAGAAGTCCAGAAGGTCTTCCTCATAGAAGACCAGAAGGTCTTCCTCATAGAAGACCAGAAGGTCTTCCTCATAGAGGACCAGAAGTCTTCTTCATAGTCAGAGGGTCTACCCATAGTCTCCATATTGAATACAAGGTATTCTGCTCAAAGAACAGAAGGTCTTCTCATCTAAGACTAGACTTAAATCGATAAAATATTGCTTTAAATTATAACAATCAACATAATTGTTATATCATTAATATTAAAAATATGAATTATAATGTAATAATAATAAAACTATGCAAAAAACAATAATAACAACAATTAAATATGAATGTAAGAGAAAAATATAGATTAGTGTTGTTTTTCTAAGTAGCTTCATTGTTCAGTTACGTTGTATGTCATTGAGAGAGTGAAAAAATATCAAAGGAAAAAAAAAACAATTGCTACACTTCTCCAGTTTATTCTCCTCTCAGGAGGAGAAATTCGACGAATTATTATTTTAAGGGTTGTTGCCTTTAGTCCAGATTATATGTGTGTGTGGCTGTGTGTACGCTTCGGAGCGACAAAACTACAAATCCATACTCTCGCCCTCTCTCACCCACCACAAACAAAAAAACAGTGTTTATATTTTTAACAGGTGGTATACACGTCTGATGACGTTCAACAATTGTTTTGCCACCATATTAACTGTATTGTTGTAGGTCTGCGTGAGTGCTCTGTGTATTGGAAGCGATAACAGTATTATGTTACAATGTTCGACAGGTTAACAGTGGTTTAACGGTTTTCCTAATTCAAAATTCATCATTCGCGTATATGTTGTTGTCCGAAGCGGTCGCAAATAGCGGATAATTACGGTAGAAAAAGTAACAAATCTGATAAAAAGTGTTATTTGTTGAATTATTTTGAAAAATAAAAAATTGAATATTGAAGAAATAGCAGTTAGAAAGTTTGAAAAACAAGTGAATATTAAAATTCGTGAAAAGTAGAAGGAAAAACAAAGTTAAAAATAAACGAATGCGAGTAATTAAAAAAAAAATCAATTTGAAAATATTAAAGAATATATTTTCTATCGACAAAAGTGTGTAGAGTTAGTGTTTAAACACTAATTTAAGTGATTTGGATTTTCCCGACACATGCTAACATACCCACGAAAAGAAATAATAACAACAACAACAACTAACGAAAATATTGTGTGCTAATAAGATTTGGCAGTAAATTTCAATGAAAAGTTAATGGAAGTCATTCCATTCATATTCTTATTAGAGCCGTAAAATCAGTGTTGCCTGTCGCCTTCATCCGGTAAACGAAACGAACAAACGTATGTCTGGCTGTCTGTCTGTAGGTGTGTGAGCGTGAGTGTGTGTGTCATACTACCTACAAATACAGTTAACTTCGTATGTCCTTAGAGTGCGTGTCGTTTGAACGTTAAAATAAATAATTCGATTTAGGATTTAATTTGGAACTCCTGTGAAGTGAAATAAAAGTCGTTAAAAAAACGAAGAACTTGTTCGTGTGAATTTGTCCGTATGCAGATTTTATGGAATATTTATTTGTATGTTTGAAGTTCTCGAAATGTAAGTACTCTTGAATTGTAATCAATTTTCATCAACTGTATGATTTTATTCAATTACACAAGGCTAAGGACAAGAAATGTAATTATTGTTAAAAGGACTCAGACTGAAGTGTCGCCATAAAAAGGGTGTTGGGTTTCAAATGTTTTGAATTATAAGAAGTATTGTTCAAAAGGGATTTATTATATTATGGTTTATATGGATTTTAGTTTGGTTAAAATCTTAAAAATACCGAATGCCTATACGACGACGTGAACCAGCATAGGCAACTTTTGTCATAAGTTATTACAATATTTAAATGCGAAACTTGAAGAAAAGATCATCAAAATACCGAATATAGGGGGTACCGTTAAATTGGGAATATACGAAGACGTGGACCTGCACAGACAATTTTCTGGCATGGGCTGAAGTATCCATTACGAACTTCATATGCAAAATTTGAATTAATCCCGGTAAATAATGTCGCTAAAATTATCAAAATACCGAATATCGGGGGGTACGGTATATGGGGGCTATACGAAGACGTGGACCTACATGGCTCATTTTTTGACTTAGGGTGTAGTATCCATTACGAACTTCAAATACCAAAGTTGAAAGAATTCCGGTGAATAATGTCGCTAAAATCATCAAAATACCGATCATCAAAATACCGTGTATAAAAATTTTGACATATTGTAGGATAGGACCGGAAGGAGTGGTCAAATATTGTCCATTCTCCAAAATTCGACTATATCGGCTTTTATAATACCCTCCTTGTACATTAAATTTGCCATTCCGTTTGTAACACCTCCTAATATTCGTTGGAGACCCCATTAAGTGCATATATTTTATGACGGACTCTGTCCGTCCGCCTGTCTGTTGAAATCACGATACAGATTTGTATTTGCGCAGAACTTTGAAATTTGGCCCAATATTTTGTATTGTGTCTAGGATGGTTGATATTGAAAATGGCACTATTTCGTATAGTCTTCATATAACGGTACCTCCCGATATTCGATATTTTAATAATTTTAGACAACATTTTCCACGGATTTGTAAATATGAGACCAAGTTTTCGGTAGTTTAATGATTATACTCTATTTTTGGGATTTGGTATTTATAGTATATATACAGGGCGAGAAAAAAACTGCAACAAAGTCAAACGCCATAATTTTTTCAGTTTTTTTTTAATTTTATTGAATGAAAGCAAAAAAGTTTTAAATATAGTTTAAAAATTTTAAATATAGAATTTCAAAATAAGTTTAGATTTGTTCGAATTTGTCATCTTTGGCATGAATTATGGCCTTCAAACGGCCAATGAAACCCTGCGGTGTTTTAGCCCATTCTCGGCGAAGCGCTTGCTTGAGGTGATGAACACTTTGGTATTTTTAGTGTCAACCTTGCTTTCCAAAATACTCCAGACTCAATAGTCCAACGGATTGGTATCCGGAGATTTTGGTGGCCATTGTGCGCTGGAAATAAATCGAGGAACCTAATTTTATAACCATTCTTGGGTTGCGCGTACCAAGTGCGATGGTGCTGAGTCCTGTCGGAATGTCCAAGCTCTGCGGCCAAAATGTTTGCGTGCCCAAGGCTTTAATACACCCTCCACAATACATTCCCCGTATTTGGCATTTATTCTGATGCCACGGTCAATTAATACGAGCGGAGAGCAACCATCGGCTGTTATGGCGGCCCACACCATCACCATGGCTGGCATTTGAGTTCTGGTGGCCAACCGAAGGTGCACATTTTCAGCTGACCTCTTTGACAAGCAGACACGATCATTTTGTTTGTTTAAAAACTGCATGGACAACAAATGTTTTCTCATCGGAGAAAACCAAATTCGGCAGTTCACCACTTTAGGCGAAGCGAAGCAACTCTTTAGCTCTTTTGAGTCTATTTTCTTTCTGTTCTTGCACTTTTTGGAATTCCAATGGCTTTACCCCGAACTCAATTTTCAATAATTGCAGAATGGAATATTGCGGTATGTTCAGCTCACGAGCCATTTTTCGGCCACTGCGACGTGGGATTCGATCAGGTCGCTTCAAGCGATAGTGGAGTGTTCTAACGATAACCACTTGTGGCTTTCCAGACAAATACAGGGTTGCCAATATTCGACGGACCCATGACTGTTTTAAAAGCACGTTGAGTTTTCACAATTGACTTCTTCTGTTGAATGTAAATTTCATCTATTTCAGAGCGCTCGCGTGGCGTGTATTGTTTCACGGTAAAAATCTGTTTGGACTGACGCTTCAAACGCGGTATGTCATTAAGCGATGTGACATCTCTGTCAAAAGTTATGGCGTTGCCAGATGGGTCCGTCGGATATAGGCAACCCTGTATAAAGAAATCACACTATTACGCTTGAATTCCACCACGAATAATTTTTTTCCGAAAAAATTCTCATTAAAATGCTTTTGCACGTTTGTAAACAATATAATGAGCTTTCACTGGAATAATTTTAATAGCTGTCAGATGGCTTAGAAATGACAGCTGTCTGAAGTTGGTAGCAGTTTTTTCATATTACCCTGTATATATAGGTCAATGTATTCCTATAGCCTATATAACGGTCATAACGGGTCCTACCACTAGTGTCAAAGCATCGCCATATAGGTTCACTGTTTCTACATATTTATATATATATGGAATATAATAATGGTTCAATTGACTTTATGGTATTTTGAAAACTAACGGAATTTTTCAACCGATACCACTGTTATTTGCAGGTTAAATTGGAATACGTTCTAATCCAGACACTATAATTTAAAAATGGTTTCCTTACTTAATGGTGGAGGGAATTGAGAGTTCGGTTCGCAGAGTTTCATGTTTTTTACATTGTTTTTTTTTTTTTGTTTTTGTTTGGCGAGAGGTACAATAATGAATGGTCCAATATTGTCCGTTTTCCCACCTGACCTAAGATTTATTTAAATATTGATATGTGCCAAGTCTGAACTATATGGGGTACTCTTTTCGCTCAATACAAATCTCATGTATTTTTTGGGAAGGTTTTGAACTTTTTGTGAGCAGGAGGGTGGAGTACCAAAAAGTTTTTCCAATTTCACTTATACAAGAAAAATATTGCTTAGTTCGATCAAGATCGAAATTACATTTTACAGGACGTTTATTCACCCAAATTTTCACCGTATTTTTGGAGAGTTGCTGGAAGGAGTGAACCGATACATCCAATATTGACATACGATCTATGGATCACTGAACCATGTTATGACGGTTATAGTTATTCAAAATTTTCGGAGATAGATTGCCGGGCGTGCTTAGATCGACTCCAAATGGCTTGAAACGGATTTCGTGTAAATATATTTGAGACCTTCTTTCTGAGGGAACTTAGAAACATTCTAACAAGGATTTGTCAGGAATATTTAGAGGACTTCCAGGAGGGAGTTGTAAATAAATGTTTATATATATTTTTAAGCATTCAACGAGGAGTCTTCAATAGTGAAGCTTTTTATAGCCCTACCATTATTGATTTTTAATGATTTTTTTACTTTTTATATTTCAAGGTCTTTCCATGTGGATTTTCTTATAAATAATTGGGAAATATTTAGAGGCTTTTCAAAGTGTATTTTTCTTATGAGTTATAGAGGGGTATTTTAAGGTCATCATAGATTTTCTCATGCGTTTTCGAGAGATACAGTTTTGCTGACCTTTAGACATGGTTTTTCTAAAGAATTTTTTGTAAATTTTCAAAAAATACAGCGAAAAGTTTAAAATATTTTTATTTGATTTTTTAGTATTGTGTTTAAAAATTTTGCGCTGATGAATAACATTTCTTCGCCTGTTGGGACTGATTTTGAAGAAGCCATTCTTGTTGTCATTAATAAATATTCAAATTTCATTAAGTATGTTATATATTTAGTATAGGCACATTTAATGAAATTCTAAAGAATTTCCACATTCTCCTCCCGTAACTTGCTTTCAATAGACGTACTTTCTTAAGGCTTTGTTACCTCGTCTTTAAATTAAATTTGCTGCGTCTTTACGAAAAAAGCTATTCAATATTGGCTACCGATGGAAATCCATTAATCTTTTTTTAAATTACTAAACACTCAGGCGCTATATATTCGTTGGTGATGGGTATTTAAAAAGATTTCAATCGGTTGCAGCTTACGACTCAATGGCTTGGGGATGTTATCCTAAGGGTAAACAATGACTACGATGATGTACGAGTATGAAAATGGTGGGGGAAGTTGGGTTGGGGGGTTTAACACCTTTTTTCTTTTATTCAATCACTGGTGTGTTTTCATCAGCGTTCGAAAATAAACAGTACACTAACATAGTGTACTGTACCGGTACAGTATCACTAAAAATTTTTTTAGCGGTAGTGTACCGGTACACTACCACTAAAAAATATTTTAGTGATACTGTACCGGAACACAACGATAATCGTACTGTACCGCAGTCGGAGCACTAAAAAATCGTAGTGTACTGCACTCGGAGCACTAAAAAATCGTAGTGTTCCGGAGTCGGAGCACTAAAAAACGTAGTGTTCCGCAATCGGAGCACTAAAAAATCGTAGTGTACCACATTAAAAAAATGTACTGGCATCAATACGTTTTTTTATGATTTGGGAAAATAATATTAAAGGTTTGATTTTTTAGTATGTAGCATTGCAAATGAATAAAATGATTATAATAAAAGAAATTAAAGATTATCCAACTTTGCAAAATTACACAAAATTCGATATTAGTATCACTCTTTGTATAAGTGGAAATTAAAGAACAAATAAAACAACGTACTGTCATATGTCAATGAAACATACTTAATACTGATTTATTTATAAGTATTTAATTGTTATTACATAAATGTATTTTTTAATAAAAATTGAATTAATTAAACAAGTTAAATATAATAAACATAATATAAATAGAAAGTAAAAAAGGAAATGTAATAAACTAAAAATATAAGTACACCAGTAAGAACTTTAATCTGATCCCAATTTGTAATTAAAAATCCCATTGGCTTTTACCATTAATATATGCTCTAAATTTAACGGTGACAATCGATTGCGCTGATCGGATAACATATATTTCATAGCTGAAAATAAGCGTTCCACGCTTACTTGTGTTGATGGTATTGCCAGTAAAATATTCGCAATGCCACTAATAATGTTTGAAGAATCCCAATATTCTAAAACATTTGCATTTAGTGGCAGTCTAGATTTTCTTTCATAAGTGGATAGATCGGATTCAAAATTATCAATGTTTGAAGAACTCTGTGTAGGCGTGGTAGGATCTAAAGTTTGCAGGTAATCGGAGAAGGATTTCGGTGTGCATGCATTACTTGTTGATGGAGTTTCATCCAGTATTGTGTAGGCCGTATTGTCTGTTGTAGAATCTGAAGAAATAAGGGTAATAGTTAAAAACATATGTATGTATTTTTGGTATTAATATAGCAAACGTACCTTCTTTTGAGTATATTCGCTTATATAACGACACTATGTACATCTGCGCTCTAGTTTTCTGTTCGCTTGTCATACAGACTTTAATACGTGGATCCAAATACACGGCTGCGTTGAAAAGTTCGTTATCAAAAAGTTTATCCATTCTTGTCTTCAATGATTCTTTCAGTATCACTTTCATTTCGGTATTTGGTAAAGCATCTATTTGGAATGTAATATCCATTATTACAATATATAGTTCGCTATAACACAGCTGTTCAGTTTGTAGTTTCATTGTAGCTGTGTAAATAGGTTTAAATATTCCAACAAATTCACTTGCGAAAGACCAGTCAGCAGAACTAATGAATAATTTCGAATTATCCTTGCTTAATGTAGTTACAACTTCTCTTATTTCCAGCAGTCTTTCAATCATATTGTATGTTGAATTCCATCTTGTTATACAGTCAATTATAGGTTTCTTGTGGAGCCCATTTTTAAAAATACTCATGTACGTTTTACTTCGAAGTTTTTTCACTACGAGTCTTAGGTTTTCAGTTTTTTCTTTTATTGTAGGCTGTTTTAGAACATCATTTACACACAGCTGCAGCGTATGGGCACCACAACGAATGTTAGTAATATGGTGTGAGGATATATTAAAGTCGATTGGCTCAATTTCATAAATCGATTGTTCACAATCAACTTCTTCTTCGCTATCCTGAGATTCCTCTTCCATAAGCATTTGTAACTCCGAATTCAGCACTTTTACCTTTTTTAACATGTTAGATCCATTGTCGGTTGTAATGGTAAAAATGTTGCGTACATCAACACCATATTCTCTTAGAACTTCCAATATAATAGATTTTATATATTCACCGGTATGACTTGATTTCAATTCTTTTACTGCCAATGTTTTAACAATGATTTTACCATTTTTGATGTATTGAACATTTATACCGAGCATGCTCAAATCCCACCTGGTTGCTACATCAATCTTAAGAGAAAACAATGTCCCTTTTAAATCATTAGATATTTCCGTTTTAATATTTGTGGAAAATGCGATAATTCGTTCCATTATATTATGCTCATTGACTGTTATTCCGAGCAAACTTAAAACTGGTTCCATAAGAATTTTGAAGGCCCTATCTTCGGCCATGTGCAGAGGACGTCCATTTTTGGTGAATAGTTCCACTATTGCTAGTTCGATGTTCCTCGGATTTACATTTCTTCGCAGTAATACTTCGTTAACACAATTTTGTAATTTCATTGCACGTTTTTGTTCAATATAGTTTGCATATTGCTCAGGATGTGATCTCTTTAAGTGTCTTTCTATATTTCCGGAATGTACACTTAAAATCTTGTTCTTACAACTTTGCAAATTACACACAACTTCGTTTGATTCATTTGTATTGAACATATCTAAAAGAATAATATTTTTAGGTCGCGGCATTTTTGTAATTATTTGCTGAACGTCTGAGAAGAACTAAACAGCAGGATATCGGCTTTTTTGCATATATTGTAACAAATATAGTTTGCCACAATTTCCGATGCGAAATTGTGGCAAACTATATTCTGGATATCAGCACATATTTTGATGTGGTACCTGTACAATGTTTGGTTTTATTTAAGGCTAAATCATAAAACTGATTTTAAACCCTCAGCCATACTTTAAAAAATATTTAATTTTTTGCACCTACATTCACTGATTTTTCGGTACCACAAAGTAACAGGTACATAATCTGCATAAAAACCATTCACTGATTTCATTTAGCGGCCCACCTAAGATAATAAAACAAACTTGACCTTTTACCAAAATATACAATTTTATGGCACTAACTTTTATTACCCATATTCTTGCATTCATTCGTAGAATTTTTGTTTTTAAATGAATGAACCTTTTTACTGGTTCATATATAACGCAATAGGCCGAATTTCAGGCGTATCCATAAAGACTTGTGGCAACCACTAAAATACCCTTTTTCACGGAGAATTTAAATTTTCAATTTAATTTTTCTTTTTATCCTTTCTACCTAATCTCATATTTTTATACTTTCTTCAATTTCGCAAAAAAAATAAATCCAGCAATTATTTTCATAATATTGAATTGTATTATTTATATTTACATTATAAAAAACATCAAACATTCAATTTTTTCCCAAATCGTAAACAACACACATGTGGTACACTACCGGTACATTATTTTTTTAATGTTCCGCCATGTGGTACACTACGATTTTGTAGTGCTCCGACAGCGGAACACTACGATTTTGTAGTGCTCCGACTGCGGAACACTACGTTTTTTAGTGCTCCGACTGCGGTACAGTACGATTATCGTTGTGCTCCGGTACAGTATCACTAAAATATTTTTTAAGGGTTGTGTTCCGGTACGGTACACTACCGTAGTGTACCACTCCACCTCGGTACGGTACAGAACACTATGGCACTGTACCATAATGTTTATTTTCGAACGCTGGTTTTCATCCCCATTGGAGGGGAGGATGTCTCTTTGTCGCCTTAAATTGATATGTTTTCTAAAAAAAAATGAATATACATACATACATTCACACAGAAACGGGGATGTATGGATGAATAATTATATTTTGGATTTCTAATCTATAATTAGAGACACTTTGTGTCAAGTTATTCTAATTGTGGGTAACCTCATTTACATATAATCATAATTAAAATACTTTTTCTTGAAAATTTGTGTATATTCTTTGAAGAAATTTATATTTATAATAGTTTATTATGAACGAAAAAATAAAACACTTCCCTTTGCAGAGTGTGTCGAAGTTAAGATAAATTCCAAAATGTTTTAATTTTTCTTCTATAGAAAATAGGAAGTGCTCAGAAGTACTCTTAAAGAAATAAATATCGAATTTTAATAATTTGTTAAGGATTATTTAGGCCATTCTACATGAATTTTTAACAGTTGTTTATAGACCTTCCACTGCCGGTTGGTTATAGATAGGGGAGAAATATTTAGAGGTCTTTCAAGGGGAACATTTTAGGCGTTCACAAGAATTCTTACAAAATGATTTTTGTAGAAATATTTAAGTGATATTTAAAAGCTCCCCAATTAAGGGATTTTTGTGGATTATTAGATATCTCCCAAAGTTATTTTTTTAATTAATAAATGTTAAATGTTATTCGCCAGAACTTTTGCATTTTTTGGTTTTGGAAAATTTAAGATCTTTCAATGTAGATTTCATGTTAGTTTCCAAAGGCCTATGCGATGAAATTTTCAATGATATCTTAATAATTATTTAGAGGGCTTCAAAATTCTTTGTATACCTCATCCATATGCCATTTGATAGGTCAAAATGCGCTTTGGACGAAATTCATTTTAGGCGATTTGGAGTTGATTTAACTTTGTCCGCCCGTCTGTCTGTGTGAACAATATCTCTCGAAAGGTATCGCATATGACCAAAAATTGGAGTGATGTAGCCTAGTTTTTAAACCACTGATTTTTGGAATGTGTGTGGTCAATTTTTCGAAGGTTGAAGGGTTTTTATAAATCAAAAAGGGCGAAATAAAAATTTTATTGAATGAAACAAAAAATGTTGGAAATAGCATCAAATTTTAGAATAAGTTTAGATTTGTTCGAATAGGTCATCTTTGTCCTGACTTATGGCCTTCAAACGGCCAGTGCGGTACTTTGGCCCATTCCCGGCGAAGCGCTTGCTTGAGTCGATCGACACTTTGGTATTTTTTAGTGCCAACCTTGCTTTCCAAAATACTCCAGACACAATAGTCCAACGAATTGCTATTCGGAGATTTTGGTGGCCGTTGTGTGCTGGAAATGAAGCGAGGAATCTCATTTTGTAACCATTCTTGGGTGGCGCGTGCTGAGTGCGATGGTGCTGAGTCCTGTTGGAATGTCCAAGGTCTGTGGCCAAAACGAGCACAAGGCTTTAATACAACCGCAATAATATTTTCGCGACAATATTCGGCATTTATTCTGATGCCACGGTCGATTAATACGAACGGAGGCGATCATCGGCTGTTATGGCAGCCCACACCTTCACCATGGCCGGCGCTTGAGTCCTGGTGGCCAACCGAGGGTGCAGATTTTCAGCTGACTTCTTTGGCAAGTAAACACGATCATTTGTTTTGTTTACAAACTGCTGAACAACGAATGTTTTCTCATCGGAGCGGAGAAAACCAAATTCGACAGTTCACCACTTTCGGCAAAGCGAAGCAACTCTTTAGCTCCTACGAGTCTATTTTCTTCCTGTTGCGGTGTAAGTTCTTGCACTTTTTGTAATTTAAATAGCTTTACCCCGAGCTCATTATACCCTCTGCCATATGGCTACAGAGGGTATATATCATTTGATACGGCCAAAACGTACCTAGTCGAAATTACGGTTTTAAACCCTAGGTCTCTTTGGACCAAATCCGTTTCAGGACATTTGGAGTCGATCTAGCGATGTCTCTCCGTCTGCCGTCTGTCTGGCTAGTGCGCACGATAACTCTCGAAGGGAGTTTCCGATTTGATCCAAACTTGGTACATCGTAATATTATTGTCAAACTTAGATCGAGGTCGGAGCTGGACACTATGGGTCCATTCCTTCTGGTACCTCCCACACAAAATATCAAAATTTTCAAAGAAAATAATTTATTGCACAGAAAAAGAAAGGATAATCCGATTTTGCTCCAACTTTGCAAATTCTAATATTTGCGTCAGTGCTAAGCCACATTATAAAATGTGATATAAGAATCCAATTGTCTTTAAATTTCACACATCCTAATAATTTTAATAACTCAAGGTCTAGTGTGAAAATGGTACCGGTACCTCCCCCACAAATGGAGAATATCGGTCCACTCCATCAAGTACCTCCCCACAAAGGGTAAACATTTTGAATAATTACAGCTCTTATAAAATGAGATGTAAGGGTCCAATTGCCTTCAAATTTTACACATCCCAATAATTTTATTAACCCAAGGTCTAGTGCCAAGATGGTTTACTCCTCTGGTAAAGATCAAAATTTTCAAAAAAAAAAAAATAGACAACAACAACAAAAATATATTTTCTGCACAGAAAGGGAAGCAATAATCCGATTTGATAATATCGGTCCATCAGGTACCACCCCCCAAAAAGCGTCAAAATTTTGAATAATTACAACTCTTATAAAATGTGATGTAAGAATCCGATTGTCCTAAAATTTCACACATTCCAATATTTTTATAGACCCAAGATCTGGTGTTAAGATGGAATATATCGGTCAACTACTTCTGGGACCTCCCCCACAAAAGGTCGACCAAAACGTTTATAAAATTCGAAACAAGCATCAGATTCTCTTTATAGTTCACACATCTCATTATTTCCACTAACAAAAGAATTGTTGTGAAGATGTAATATATCGGTCCACTCCTTCTGGTACCTCCCCCACAAAGGCTGAAATTTTTAAATATCCACAAAGCTCATAAAAAGCGAAATTATCATCCGATTCCATTCAAGACTTGGTACATCTCTATATCTCCACCAACATAAGATCTGTTATAAAGATGGTAGAGATCGGACCATTTCTTTTGCTACCTGCCCATAGGGTTGAAGATTATGAAAATCAAAATGATCAAAGAAGGCGAAATAAGCATTCAACACTCTTCAAATTTCACACATACAAACATTTTTGCTAATACAATATCTGCTGGGCGGGTGATATATATCTGTGAACCCCTTCTGGTACCTCACTGACAAAGGGTCACAAGTTTCAATACTTTTAATAACTTGTGAAACAAGTCAGCGATTCGAATAATTTTTGCTAATGTTGCAGTTTTCTTCCGTCCACTTCCTTGACGTCGGGCTACGCTACCAGTATCACAGTAATGAGCGGTGGTATGAGACACAAAAGATTTATTCACATTTAAATGGTGGAGTGCTCTCACGATATCCACTTGTGGCTTTCCAGCCAAATATAAAGAAATCACACTATCACGCTTAAATTCCATCACGAATAACTTTTTTTCTGGAGAATTCTCACCAAAATGTTTTTGTACGCATATAAGCAATATAATGATCTCTCACTGGAATAATTTTAACAGCTGTCGGACGAGTGGCTTAGAAATGACAGCAGTCTGAAGTTAGTTGCAGTTTTTAAATCTCACCCTGTATAGCCTCTGTAGCAATGTGGCTGAGGTGGTTTTCTAGTAAAGGGTGGTAAAAATGGAACAAACCCTATAACTATCTTCCATTCTTACCTCTCTCACTATTTCTCTCCCTCTCTCACGGTAAAGATTCCTTTTGCTTTACGGGGAAAAATATGGGCATTAATCGCCTTTATCAAATAACCTTGAAAACATACATTATCAATTGAAGCGCTCCAAAAGGAATGGAAATATTTCCAGCTTTCAAATTTTTAGACATCTTTTTCGCAGGGATATTGTGTTTTGATAAATTTCTGAGTACATATTGAAAAATTGTTTAATACCATAATGTTGATGTACATATTTTTAC